CCCATTTAAATTCCCTCCTGAAATCAGCACACCTGGGGGCACCAGCACTCTTTGGAGCTCAGCCTCACACTCACCACATCCATATGAAGAGTTTTTGGGAGTACACATTCTCCTGAGCTCACCTTCTCCCTCCTCTTTGGTCTGTCTCAGAAAGCACCCGCAGGTGCCATCCCCTGCTTGTGTTCCATGAGTAGGGAATGAGGAAACCCTTCCTAACCACATTCACATGTTGGACCACTCCTGCTCCCTGCTGGCACATCCCTCCCCGCTGCTCTCCTCCTGCATCCCAAACCCGTGGCACAGGTTTGGCTCCAGCTCTCAGTGCCACCAGCTGTGCAGCTTGCAGAGGTTTTAATCTGCCGCTGTGGGTCCCAGCTGGGGGTCCTGGTCCCTTCTGGCTGCTGCTGGAGCAGAGCAGCAGTATGTCCTGGATTGCCATGTGCTCGCCCTGCTGGGTGACACAACCCTCTGCTCTTGCTGCATGTTCACAATTATGGCAAAATCAGCTGCTGCTCCTCAGGAGACAAACATTGCCAGCAGCCCTGTGTGCCTTGGGGAATGACTCAGGTTCTCCTGCATGACACTGAGCATTTAAAAGACACAGAACTGACTGATTTAATCCTATTTCTCTGTGCACAGAAGGGCCCTGTGCTTGAGTCAGGAAAATGTTGTGCTCTGTTTGCAAGAGGATTTGGGAATGAATGGATCAAACTCTTTTCCCTGAAGCATATGGTACTGCACTAAATGCTGTTATTAATAAATCAATAATTTTCATGGGAGAATCTTGGAAAATGTGCTTTTTGGAGAGGTCCCACTGGAGTTCAGCACATCCAGCACCAAGTTTGGTATGAGCAGGGTGTGCAGCACAGCCTAGGGAACTCCTGAATTGTTGGTGATGATATTCAGGGCAGAGCAGAAAGCTGTGATACCCAAAGGATACAAGAGGAACTTGCATTTTGGCTCAGAAATTCCTACAGTAAACTTTGCTTGAGATAAAGGAGCAAAGGAACTCCCCAAATCTTTCCCTTCCAAGAACTGCTGCTGCTGCCTGCTGGATTTGCTAAATCTATCCACAACTTCACAGCCTCCTTTCAAAAGTGTGAAGGCTTGTCCCTATGCTCTGTTCTGTACACCCAAGCTGTCCCTGTCCCCGTTCCCTCTGAGCTCCTGGCTGTGAGCTGCAGAGCTGCATGAGACTGCCAGGGTCCTGTTTCTGCCTTTTTCACACATTCAGGGCACATCTGACCCTGGGAAGGACCTACACAAAATGCCCATCCCACTGAAATCCCCAAAACAGGATTGAAACAAGACTTCAGTAATGCTTGGAGTGAGTTTTCCTGTGGTGGACTGAGGAGTGAAGCTGTGTTTCCAAAGCCAGCACTATAAATGGGCACTGCTCACAGACCAGATCACAGCTAAAAGCATTTCACTGCAGAGAAGGTGGTCCTCATGCTCATGGAAAGGGCATGGATTAAATCACCTTCAAATTATCTATTGCCATGAAGGCAATGCCACAGCAGAAGCTTGTGAGGGGGAAGAATCTGATGTGCATATCTCTATTTCTGGAGCTTTTGGAACGTGCATTGAAGGCAGCTGAGTTCCCAGCACAGTTTCCTCTTGCTTTGAGCTTGTGGGACTTCCTACCTTTCCTGCCCTTACACATACAGCAGAGAAACCTTTGTTTGTGAGAGATTTTTTTTACCCTCCCTGAGATGGAGATTCATACTCACAGCTCAACTTGCACAGATTTACTTCTCACAAAACTTTACAAATGAAGCCTAGAGAGAAACAGAAGGTATTTTACTAGTGATTTTGGTGGGAGGCTGATGCACAGGGAGGGCTGGAGGGTCTGAGAGCTGAGAGCAGTGCTCTGGGCTGTGAGGATGATTCTGCATGTGCAGATCCTTAAGCATCAGGAAGCAAAGGAGTTGCAGTGGTCTGTTACCAGAATTATTTGGTTTGACAGGCAATAAAGGAGCCACTCACCGCTGTTTCTGATGGGCTAAAAGTGAACAGAAATGGTGACATCCTCTCTCTCCCAGATTTCTGGGCAATTTCAAATCCAGCCTCTGACCTGGGTGAACCCAAGTTGGGCTCTGAACCTTCCTCTGGGCAACCACTGCACTGGCCCACATGCCCTACCTACATCATGGCCCTGGTGACATCAGAGCTGTAATTTGTCTGAACAAAACAAGTGTGAGCTGCCAGCCTCCCAGAAGAGCTGATGTGCTCTTGGGACAGCTTCCCTTCTGCTCTGTTGCTGTGTGGGATGTAACTCATGCACTCGAAGGGTAATTGCAGTGCATTTTTGAAGATTATTGTGTAAAACCTCCTTCTCATACTGAACAGAAGTGTGGCAGCAAAAGGGATTAACTCTGCAAAAAACAGAGACTGCTGGGTCTGGCACACAAATGCCATTTGGAGGCATTAACTGAACTCCTGTGGAGTTATTAAAAGGCTGCTCTGCTGAACGCTGCCATGTGTGCTCCTGCAAACACCTCAGGCAGGGCTGAACCTTCACATGGAAACCTCTGCGGAGCTCCAGAGCTGCTTGCAGGGCTCAGATTTCTTCCTTACAGCAGAATAATTCAAGTCTGAGGCTGCCTGCATATCACCAGATCAATACACGCATTTAGCTGTCAAGAATGACTTGAACAAAAGACTGACAAGCATAATTTTGAGAGTTAATGGACCTCAGCAATTATCCATCTTTCTGTAGCATGGTGAGGAGGTAACAGCAAGCCAGGGGATGGTAGGAGCAGAGAAATTCCACAGCTGGATCAAGTGCAGCATATAAAGTTTAATTTACTACAACAACTTGCTCAGATGAGCACTTCACTCAGAGCTGAAAAAACTATTTTTTGTTTTTTTCAGATATGGAATTGCCCTAACTGTGAAATGTGTGTCCCTGCCAGCCCCTCAAACACACCCAGCATGAGATACGGGTGAAAATACCTAATAAAAAAAGGCAACATAAAAGGTATTAAAAGCCCACTAATTTAAGGTAATTAATTAAGGATTTTGTGGTGGTGTCATGCAATGTGAGGGGGGGAAAAATCTTTGTGGGAAGAAAAGGAACTGAGGACTTAATTATTTTTGGCAGGACATTTTTACATTTTGCTTATCAAGGGACTGTTGTAGGGAGGTGATTATTTTATAGTCCACAAAAGTTCCCTCCCTCCTTCCTTTCTCCCAATCCCAAGCACCTTTCCTACAGTCTGAGGGGCCTCTTTATGTGATTGCATTTCAACTTCTCTTATTTTTCTTTCCTTTTCCTTGCTGGGGTATTTTTAAAAGACAGATTTATCCAATTCACCACTGTGGTCAGTGGGTTACTGCTCTGCTCTCCAAGCTGGTCTGAGAAGGGACAGACTTTGTGCTGCCCCGGACTGAGATGGGGAGGCATCAGTGTTGGTCCTGATCCATTTCCCACGGCCATGATCCAGTGAACACTTCCAGCTGGGATAAACCAGCCCTGCAACCCTGGTGACCCCACCACTGCCCCGGGCAGCTTGTTCCAGTGCTTGACAGCCCATTCACTCAATATTTTTTACATAACATCCAATCCAAACTCCCCTGGTGCAATTTGAGGCCGTTTTCCTCTTGTCTTGTCACTTGTCACCTGGCTGAGAGAAGAGACCAAGCCCCACCTGGCTCTGATCTCCTTCCAGGGAGTTGTAGAGAAGGAAGAGGTCCCCTCTGAGCCTCCTTTTCTCCAGGATGTGCTCCCCCAGTTCCCTCAGCAGATCCATCCTCCAGACCCTCCCTCATCATCCCAGGAGCTCTTGCTAACCGTGAAGACAGGAGGAAGATGACGGCTGTCTCAGTACTTTTTCAGCCCGGAAAGTTTCGCTCCTGTGAAATTCCGTGACAGCGGCGCCATCCCCGCGGGGCTCCCGCCGCTCCATCCCCGCTGCTGGAGCTGTCCCCGCTCCCCTTCCCGTGGCTCCGGAGCCATCCCAGGCAGAGCTGCTGTGTCCCGGGGGGCTGAACCGTATCCCCCGCGCTCGGGGAGCGGCTCCGGCCCGGCCCGGCTGCCCAGCAGGCGGCACTGCCCGCCCGCCGCACCGCCCGCACCGCTCCCGGTCCTGCTCCCGGTCCCGCACCGCCCGCACTGCTCCCGGTCCGGCTCCCGGTTCCGCACCGCCCGCACCGCTCCCGCTCCCGGTCCCGGACTGCCCGCACCGCTCCCGCACCGCTCCCGCACCGCTCCCGGTCCCGGTCCCGGTCCCGGTCCCGCTCCCGGACCGCCCACACCGCTCCCGCACCCGCACCGCCCGCACCGCTCCCGGTCCCGGACCGCTCCCGGTCCCGGTCCCGCTCCCGGACCACCCGCACCGCTCCCGGTCCCGGTCCCGGTCCCGCACCGCTCCCGCTCCCGCACCGCCCGCACCGCTCCCGCTCCCGGACCGCCCGCACTGCTCCCGGTCCCGCTCCCGCATCTCTCCCGCTCCCGCACCGCCCGCATCACTCCCGGTCCCGGACCGTCCGCATCGCTCCTGGTCCTGGACCACCCGCACCGCTCCCGGTCCCGCTCCCGGTCCCGCATCGCTCCCGGTCCTGCACCGCCTGTACCGCTCCCGGTCCCGGACCGTCCGCATCGCTCCCGCTCCCTGTCCCCCTCCCGCACCTCTCCCGCTCCCGGTCCCGCTCCCGCACTGCCCCAGGTCCCGGTTCTGCTTCGCCCGCACCTCTCCCTGTCCCGCAGCCCTCCCGGTCCCGCACAGCCCGCACCGCCGACACCGCTCCCAGTCCCGCTCCCGGTCCCGGTCCCGCATGCGAGGCTGCCCGGGCACTGCCGGACCCGCAGCGGGGACTCCCTGAATGGCATTTTGGGGTTGCGGGGCTGGGAAGGTGCTACGAGCAAAGGGTGCTGCTGCTCTTGACTGGCCGTGCTTTGCCTTCGTTCTTGTGAGCAGGCAATAAAACCCACGTTTAAATAGAAATAACTGCAGGTGAAGGAAGTGGGAGTGCACCGTGACAGGAATTGGCTCTGGCACTTGGCTGGTCTGTTTTGTCTCTGTTCTCTCCACCTGCGTGCCAGGAACAGCCCAGCCTGGCTCCTGGATCGATGCTGTGAGCAGGGATGCTCACTGCAGCCCTTCCCATCTTATCTCATCAGAAAAATATTACTAAGAACAATTTATCCACGTGAAAAATAGCTCCCAGCAATCCTGGCAAGGTCAGTGCGAGCCGCTGAGCTGGTGCTCTGCTGTGAGCTGCAGCTGGGTCTCCCACTCTAACCTTTCCCAGGCAATGCAGGACACACTGGGGAGAGGGAGCACCCAACCCCCCCTGCCCTCTCCAGGGACACATCCCACCTGCCTGCCCTTGTACTCGCTCCTCACTTCACTAGAAGAGAAAACCGCGGACTTCCCCCAGGTCAGACAAGACCCACGAGTGTAGAAACCTGGGCAGGGATTTAACTGGAGCAGGTTTGTGCACAGGTTCTGCAGTGTTTGCTTTGGTCACCACCCCTCCGCCAGCCACTGGGACATCCTTCATGAGGATCTGGTGGTCCGTTCTCCAAGCGTGAAATCCCAGGGAAGAGCATGGTTCTGGTGCAGGGTGAGGGTTCCAGAGAGACATCTCCTCTTCCCAGCTCCAGTCTGAGGGTCTGCTCTGGCACAGGGCTGGGATCACTGATGTGGGGCTCCACCAGCAGTGACCTGGCTGATCCAGGTGTCACCTGCACAGCTCATCCTTGCCCAGCCTCTCCTGTGGCACTCAGTGAGGACTTTCAGGGTGCTCTGCTCATAAATGAGTCCTTATGAATTCCCCACTGCCTGGCCCAGCATGACAGGAGGATTCATCTCCCAGTCCCAGAGGTCTCTGAGCTCTGTCCTTCGGTCTGCAGTTGCTCTGTCCTGCCCTGCTGTTAACTCTCCTTGGAGGGATCATTGTGGGAAGCAGAGCAATTCTCCAGTTCCTTTGTGATCCCCACTGGGCATTGCTCCACTTTGATTTTCTTTTTTCCTCTCATTGACTTCTTAGATCCTGTAAACAGGCAGATGACAGCAGGAGTTAACCGCAGAGAAATGGATTTACACTTCTGGAGTCAGCATGGCCTCATCCCAGAGCAGGGACAGCGCAGCAGGAAGCAAAGCTCAGCACAGCAAAGATGAAGAGCAACCCCTCACATGTGAGATGTGTGGGTATCAGGGGAGGCTGTTGTGATCCTGACACAAAACATGTGAAACAGAAACACACAGAACTGATCTGATGCAGAAGCGTCTCTGACAGGGTATCCAGACCAGCAAGATGCATTCTATGAATTTCTCCCTCTTCCAGTGTGGTTGGTGGCCCACAGCACAAGCTGAGAGAGGTGCTATGCCCCTCCATCACCCCATTCCTGCCACAGCTGCACCCACCCCTCACCTGGGACATCCCCATCCAGTCCTGGAGGGTGGGATGTGACTGCCCTGGGCTACACAGCACAGCTTCCTCCCCATTGCTCCAAGTGGCTGGTTTTATACTGCAAATCCTCTTGTCACCGGCTCTGGTGCTGTCCCCTGACTGAGCAGGGCTCTCTGAAGGCCAGGCTGTTAAACAAGCTCCCTTCAAGCTTTAGCAACAGCCCTCTCCACATTTATGGTTGGGCCAACACTGCTGTTTTTACCAGCAGTAAGGAGCAGCAGGGTTCTTCTGACAGAGCGTTTTTAAAGGCCTGACAGACAAACTGCCTTATCCTTGCCCTTATCAGGAGCAGTTTTCTGCTTATTCACCTGCAGGAAACATGGGTACAACACATTCCTCTGTCAGCAGGGAAACCTCCACAGCCACACTGGAAGATCAACAGAACGGGCAGAAACCTTTTTCTCAATGTCAATAACTCAGCCCTGGGAATTAGGCCTTCCCCAGTCAGCACCTCCCTGACCAGATAAGCAAACACGAGGGACTAAGCTCTGTTAGCTTAAGTGCTTGGGGTGCTCTCCTGCCCAGGCTGTCCTGGCTAACCATTAGCTGGGGCTCCTCTGGCTGGAGATGTGAGTGTTGCCAAAACGTGGCTCAGAGGAGCACGGAGGAGAACACTCCTCTCCCCTGTCCTTGGGCTTTTCTCACAGGAGTCCCTCTGGAAGCAGCAGAAGTTGGAGCCTTGAGCTGATGCCCCAAGGAACTTCTCCCTACCTTTTATGCAGGGATCCTGTCCTCTTTTTCTCTTCCTCTGCTGCACATGAGCTTTGTCTTTGGTGCAGAAGTATTTCCCGTCAGCCTCAGCTTCCTGTAGGATCTCATCTTCATACTTCTCCTACACCAACGAGAAGAACAGTCAGTCTGCAAACCACCCTGGCCTTCCCAGGGAGCTGGTGGCTTTGCCAGGGACCTTTGTGACCATTGCTATGGAGTGATGACAAATGCTAGTGTTCATAAACATTCTTGACTGGCCGGGGAGAGTGGCACATCTACCCCTCAGCAGCAAGATGTACAACAGGGTGGGAATGAGGTTTGGCACCTGGTGCAGGAAGAGCCATCACCTCCTGGAGGGAGCGTGGGCTGGGACAGCCTGTCTGGTGCCTCTGGGGCCCGGCAGCCTGAGCTGGTGGCTGAGGAGAACAAACAAACTCACCTCACTGTCCGTTGTGTCTGGCTCATCAGATTCTTGCTTCCCAGACTCGGCATCATTGTCATCTAAAGAAACACAAAAAGAAGGGTTTAGGCTGGTGGGAGGCTTGGCAAGCTCCTGAGCAGATGCAGAGCCACTGGCCCAGGCTCACAGAGCCACTGAGGCAGGAAGCAGCTTCAGCAATGAACTGTGTTGTGAAGCAGAGGCACTGCAAGCTATGTGGCCTGGGATGAATGTTTAGGAGTGATCCAACAAGACTCTAATGGGAAACCAGCTCCCAGGAAAGCTGCATCCCCAGGACTTTGCTACACCAAGGTCACAAGAGCTGTCCCAGCATCTGTGGCTACACACAGGAGGGAAACTGGGGGGTATTTAAGTCTCAGCCTGCACCTTCCTGTTTGAGCCCCAGGTGGGGAAATGTGTATTGGGGTGAAGAGGCCAAAAGGGACAATCCCACGTTTGCTGCTGGTTCAGTCAGCAGCTCTTGGCAAGGAACGTGTGCTGAGCAGCAGAGGAAGGAAAGGCAGGGGAGATACTTCCCTTCCCAGCAGAAGCAATTCACTGTACACAGACCCTGGGGCTACACAGCCCCAGACATGTCCCTGCACACACCCGACCTCTGCACACCCTGCATCTCCTGGGCTTGGGGGCCAAGCCTTGCTGCTGGTGGCATCACCCTGTCTGCACACACAGAAACACCCCTCAGCTGGCCATGGTGGGCACAAAGGGCTGTGCCCTCTTCTGAGGGGCAGGGACACCCCCAAAAATCAATACTTGCTGCTCATCACACCCAGCTCTAGCCAGGATGGAGCTCAGCAGGGCAGCCCCTCTTGCTGCCCCTGCAGAGGTGGGAGAGCAGGTGATGCTTCTTCCAGGCACTCCTGGATTCCCTGTAGCCCGATCCCATCCTCACCTTATCCTTCTGCAGGTCAAGGTTCATTAGAAAGTGCAGAAGTATTTGTGTATTGTTTCCCCGGCTTTGTGTCAACCTTAAGGTGAGAACTGAAGAAAGTCCTGTATTCCCACACCCAGAATGTAATCAGCTGAAATTCTTCTGCCATGATGATATCTCCTTAGCATGTAAATCACAGAGGACTCTTCTTTTTTTTTTTAATTCCACCGTGAAAAATCCTGCTCAGGAGAGTGTTCCCAAACCACTCTGACACGCCCAGACCAACTAATCCAGGCGAGCTCAACTTTCTGGCCAAGCCAGTAAGGCTGGTCCTGAGCAGCTCCCAGCAGACGTGCTTCCCACTCTGATCCCCATGGCTGCTGCCTCCCACCTGCCTGGACAAACCTGGCACCTCTGTCTCCCGGGGGTCAGGCAGGGAGAAAGCCTTGGAAGGGCTCTGGTGGAGGATGGAGCAAGGGAAGGAAGGAAACCACCCTGATCTACGTGCTGCAGGGACCAGCATCCCTGGCTCTGGGCTCGACCCCATGTGCTGTGTCATCACAGGACACACTTTGGAGCAAGGGGACAGGCAGGGATGGTTTTCCAGCATTAGTCCTGCAAACCTCTTGCATTTTCCCCATCTCTGCTGGGACATCCTGAGCTGCTTCTTCCCTGAGAGGAGTGGGGAACGCTGGAGCAGCAGCATTGTCCTGCTGCTGCTCATTGTGGAGCTAAGCTGACTGCTCGGCTCCTGGAGAATCCCATGGCCCCAGCGTGGAGTGCAGGGTGCTCTGCTGAGCCTGCAAGGACACCCCACAAATGGCTCCTGTCTGTGCTGGACAGAGACACTGCGCTTTTCTCCAGAAGAACCAGGGTTACTTTCTGCCCATTCATACTGAGCCTGAATTTTGGACATATCTAGGGTAGAAAATGGAGCTCTCAAGGGCAGAAATGTGGAACCTGAAGTTCCCCCAAAGACCCAGTAGGGTTGGGAGGCAGGAACACTTGGCCCATGGAAGGTGGGTGTGCAGGTGTGTGCAGAGCCCAGCAGAGAGCTCTGGGCTGGGAAATGCCTTCACCAAAAGGCACCTTTGACTCTTGCCTTCTCAAATGTCACATTTGCCTGGGGCTTCTTACCTGCTTCTCCCTTCTGTGCACTGACATCCCGCTTCAGCCCAGCCTCAGGAACGGCCTCTGGGTCGCTCGGTGTGGAGTTGTTTGTCAGATATGCCCGTGAAAGCGTGAGCTGTGGGACACAGGGAGCACAAACGCTGCTGCCACCAGGCAGGAGAGGACTGTCCCCAGCCCTTACTTGATGACAGTGCCACCCACAGGGACAAGCATCACACAGAGGTTCCTGTGCACTGTGGTGCGTTTGCAGGGAGCCCAGCACCTCCTGCAGCAGCCTGTGGGAGGGGGCACAGGCACTGCCTGCCCTCGGGGCTGGATGGAAACCCTGGGGACACTGCGGGGAGTGAGAGCCAGGACTGAGCAACAACGGCTCTGCCATGAATAATTGGCTTCACACACATCAAACCCACGCGATGTTAGCGCTGCTCACAGTGGTCCCAGCAGCAGTGGGGTGGGGAAGGGGCTGCAGTCGATGCCAGCAAAGCTGTACTTACCACAGCTGCATCCTCCTCCTCCTCCTCCTCCTCGTCCTTGGCAGCACCGGGCGGGGGTCGGGTGGCGCTGGGCCAGTGGAAGGGGCAGTGGAGGCTGTCCCGCTGTGCCCTGTGTGCCCTGTGTGCCGGGCTGGCCCCGGGGCTGTCCCGCTGTGCCCTGTGTGCCCTGTGTGCCGGGCTGGCCCCGGGGCTGTCCCGCGGCTCCCGGTGGCCGTGCCGGTCCTGTTCCCTGCCCCGGCCCGACTCCGACAGATCCAGCGGCGCGTCCGCATCCTCGGCCCTCTCCCCCTTCATCCTCGCTCGCTGCTCGGGGCTCTCCCGGCCCAGCCAGAGCTCCTTCTCTTCCTTCCCAGCCGCAGCATCCTCCGGGAGGAGCCTCTCCTCCTTGCAGCCCGCCGCGGTGCCCAGCCAGGGGGACAGGGGCCGGGATCCGCCGTCCGCCCTCGGGCCCGGCTGCCGCTGCTGCCGCAGGAGATGCTGCAGCCGCTCCCGCTGCTTCAGCAGCTGCAGCTGCTCCTCCAGCTGCTGGTCCCTCACGTACACCATGGTGGCAGGGAGCTTCAGCAAGGCTGCGTGCTCATCCCAGGGGTCCCGGCAGCTCATCCTGCCCTCGGCAGCCCTGCTCCGGAGCAGGGGGCTGGGGAAGCTGCTGCCCTCCCGCTCGGCCGGGCCGCAGGGGCTCGCCAGCCCCAGCTGCTGCAGGGAGAGATGTTTGTGCAGGAGGCACAGCTGCTCCCTCCGGGCACTCAGTTTTAGGTTTTCGTAGGATGGAGCGACCTTGGGGGACTCCAGTTTGCTTGCTGTTAAATAACTAAAAAAAAAAATGTGTGGAAAATAAGTTACACTAGAGATCACGCCAGGGGAAAAAAAACCAACCAAACAACCCCATGCATTAATATCAGAGCTTTCCCATGGTTTCCCAGTTGTGCAGGGATGTGTGTGATCTCTTCTGCTCTTTCCATGCCCTGTTGCAGCTCTTGGTCAGTACATGATGTTTGTCTTTGGGTTCTGTGCTGGGGAGGAGGGTCCTGGTGGCCAGGGGCATCAGGCAGCCAGCAGTAGGAAGCCATCCCCATCCCACACAGCTTGGGAAGCCATTCCCATCCCACCATCCAGCAGCAAACCCCTGTCCCTAGGCCACGGCAGCTCAAGGCAGGGGGTTGAGTGAAGGTAAGGATGCAGCGAGCTCTCACATCAGCACTGCTGCTGAGAAATCACTTTTTGAATAATGTCTTACAGCCAGCACTATCCTTACTATCCCCCTGGGATTTCTTAGTGCCTGAAGACCCCCAGGACAGAGGAACAGCCCACCCTCCCCTAATCTCACTCAATGGGAAACTTTTCCATCCATCCAAGGTTGGAACAGTGCAGGAACCTGCCCTGCAAACCCAGTCCCTGCTGCCACTGTTTTTTTTTGGCAGCTTCCATGAGTGCAAGGTGTTCCCAGGGATGCTCTGCAGAGCTACTCACACTCTGGGAAACTCTCTGTCTACAGGTGAATTCCATGGCCTTGCTCAGCCCTCTGTGCTCCTGAAATCAGTGGGGAGGATAAGCCTGGGAAGTGCTGAGCCCTGCAGGAAAGCCCATTAGAATAGATAAGGAGGAGCAGGAATTGCTGCCTGCCTGGGACAGTCCTCCTGCCTGGATGTGGGGACAGCTGGTTCAGTTTGTGGGTCTGTCTGAGGAGCTGGAATAACGAGAGCCTGATCTGGTTGGGCTGGATTCCAGTCATTTTCTACTGGTGTAAACTGGGATATCCCCCCCTTCCCAAGGCTGTGGGAGAAGTTTGGAGAGGGAGGTGGGCAGACACAGTGAATATTTGCCATCCATCCACTGAGGCACAGCTGCAATGGGCCCCAGGACCCCCAGGTACTCACGCCTCCAGGCTGGGGCTGTGCTCACGCTCTGGAGGGAGAGGAGCCTTCCTCGCTGGTGGAGACACTGCTGCCCCCGAAGGGCTCTTTTCCAGGAGGCAGGGTCTGGAGCCAGGTCTCACCAGGGCGATGGTTCCGTGCAGCTGGTTGGAAATCCTCTGGGATGCCTGTGGCACAGGACAGAAAGTCCAGGTGAGCCATTCTGCAGTGTGAACTGGGACACCTCTCCTCACCAGTGACAACAAGACAGACAGCTCCTGAGTGCACTGCTTGATATGGTTCTGGTCAACAGCTCTATCAAGTTTTTTATTCACTTTTCCAGCAAATTTTCCCTTCGTGGACTCTCCATTTTCTGGCTGCACTGATATGTAGCACAGGAAGTTTTGCATCTCCTCTTAAGTCACGATTCAGTGGCTTAACCAAGATAAGACCCTGCAAGTTCCTTGTCCCATAGTCAGGCCTTTTTCCTCATTCAAGATTTTATTCATGCAAGCTCCAGGCACACACTGGTTTGGTGGGTGTATTTCTGGTGGAGTACCTGGGCCAGGCCATCGTTGTCTCCATCAGGTGTCATGAAAGGCTCACCACATGTTCTGACTTGACTTTCCCCTGCCCACCTGGAGATGTCACCAACCCTTCTTGTCATCCCTATTAATTATCCCCTGCAGCCTTACCAAAACCCCTTTTCACCTGCTCTTTCAAGTTTTTTGTGGCGGTCGAGTAAGCAAAAGCTGTGCCAAAACAGAAGAGTCTGTGTGGGTGTGTACGTGGGCTTGTGTTCCCATGCCCAGGAACAGGTCCAGGTCCTGAACTCTCATCTCCCAGTGCCCAGTGTCACCGTATCACTCAGCAGCCTGAGTGACACCCTCTCTGGGTTTGTCCTTGCCAGGCCCTCTGAAAATGCCAGGCTTTGGAAATTACAAACTACCCAAGTCTGGCTAATTGTTCCACCCCCAAGGGCCTCCTACTCTTTCCCTATCCCAATCTGCTTGTCCTGATCCCGTTCAGATGACCACAGCAGTGGGGAGAAGGCCTGAGGACATCAGGCTACCTCTGCCAACTCACTATTTCTACAAGGCTGACTTCTTGGAGGAGAGTGCCTGGAGAAGTCCTGCTGCTTGGAGAGCTTCTCTGGAGTTTCTCTGGAGGCTTTTCTGCAAAAAAAAAACCAAAAAAATTAAAAAAAAATAGACACAACCAGCTGCCATAATGGTCCCCCAGAGCTGCTGTAGCCCTGCCCTGCAGTGGGCTGGAGCCATGCAGGCTCCCAGGGATGCCACTGGCTGCTACCAACCACCTCTCAGTGAAGATTTTGAGTCAAAATTACCTTTTGACTCAAGCCAGCACCTGACTGAACGTGCCTTTTGCTGCATGTGTGGGTGGCAGGAAGGGAATGCCGTGGTCTCTGCATGAGTTGTCTTTCAGTGAGGGCACCAAGCACTCTTTTGCTCTAATGCAGTGCAGGGTGTTTCTCCCTTGACCTGCATTTTCCCCCATCAGCTTTTCTGCTCATGGCAATGTCCATCTGAGCTGCCAACAGCTTGGTTTTTGCTCTCCAGACCCGTTCCCAGAGCAGTTTTGCACCATGGCTGAGTCACTTTTCACATGCCCAGGTCCCTCAAGGGTGGCAGGAGCCAGCAGCACCCACCTTCACTGAGCTCGAGGTCCGGCACATCCTGCTGGGCTTCTGCTTCCCTGTGCTCTGCCTGCTCTGTGCTGACATTCCTGCTCGCTGGGGACAGCAGAGTCAAAGGGGAGCTTGGTGTGGAGCAGCTTTCTCTGGAGGAGACTCCTGGGGTCTTTGTCCTGTCCCTGTGGGAAGGAAAAGGACATGAATAAATGAGAAGGGGGCAGGATAAGGAAGGTTTTGGAGCCGCTGTACTGAGAGCTCTGAGCCTGATATACAAATATACATATTTATGTAAGTGTGGATGTGGACATTCCGGATCCTCAGACTCACCTCCTTCCACTGCAGCTTATCAGCAGCCCAGCTGCAGTCTGGAGCGTGGACAGAGCCAGCGTGGCAGTCTGGGCTGTGATTGCCCCACTTGGTTGTGGGTAATGCTGCAGGAAGCCACGATGTTGGCTAAGCCAGGACCCAGCTGTGGCTATTGCAAAAGCTCTGTGGGAACCTGTCCCTGGCTGGGCTTCCAGCCTGGTGGAGGGGTGGATTCAGCACAGGGATGTGGTGTCTGCCCCCTGTCACCAAACCAGGAGGGAGAGGGTGATGCTCTCACACGAGGGAGTGCCTGAGCCTTGGAGACATGCACAGAGCCCTGGATGGACTCAGGTGCTGAGATGTGGATGTTTGGCTGGAAATCCTCCTGCCCAGCATCTCAGGGGAGAGCAGAGCAGAATCACTCAGTGCTCAGCAAGCCCAGCCCAGCCTGGAGCTACTCAGCTCTTGGGAAGCACCGGGGAGTAAAAGCCAGAGTTTCTCTTTAAGCAGATGGTGCTCCTGTGCTCCAAAGAAAACACAGTTCTAAACTAATCCCTCAGTGCTAATTCCTCTGGACTCTAAACCCTTGAGGAATGAGCTGATTTGTATATATTGGCTAGCCTGGCAGGTTACTTGGCTTCCAGCACAGCGCTCTGCTGGTCTGTGAGCCTGTTGGTGCAGATCACTTCTCCCTCTTTAACCCCATCACAGTCCCTTGGTGTCACTCTCCTTCCCCAAAGCCACCTGCTTCCTGCAGAGCCTCTCTGGCTGCTACAGGAGGGGAGCTGGTGGCATGAAAAAGCCATGGAATCCCAGGCTGAGGTCCATGCAAGCTGCCCAGGGCTTTGTTTCCAGGGGGTTAAGTATCTTTGTTCCCCAAAAATTAATCACTGGATGCTGGTGAATAGGGAGTAAAGGTCAACAAGGATTTTGAGACTATTAGGGATTTTTCCATGTCTTACATACACAGGAACCCATGGGAATTAGATGCTAAAATACCCCTGAAGATGCCACAATCTGGACCTTTCCCTGCCCTGGTTGTTGCCAATGCCCCTTGTAAAGAATGAAACCTGAAAAGAGCTTACTCCAGGCTCCGGAGCCTCTTCAGTTCTTCCTTGAGAGTTTTATTCTCCTCCCTCAGGCGGTTGGTCTCGTTTGCTGCAGGGACAGAGGCGGTGCTGTGAGTTCAGAGGCTGCAAGGATGCTGCTCACAGCTCGCTGGGGTGCCCGGGGGAGGAGGAGGGAATGGCACCGACTTTTGGAGGGATGCTGAATTCCCTTCCTTTCTGGTGAACGTGCTGGGGCTAAGGGATAAAAGGGAGCAATTTCTGACTCGGGTTTCAGCAGGACTGGCTCTGCCTGCAGGTCACCCAGCCCAGGGGCAGAGCCCGACCAGAGGTGGGCTGGGCACAGGGAACATCCTGGGCACCAGGGCAGGCTGGGGTGGGTGCTGTGTTAGGGGGAGGGCTGGGGGTCTCGGGGGGGATCAGACAGAGGCCACAGGGAGATGTGAGCACCCAGCCCTGGGTCCTGCAGCCAGGAGGCCACGGAGAGCACGGATGGGCTCCCAGGCACGGTGCCTTGCCTTGCTCCTGCTCGAAAGCAGCACTCAGGGAACAGTGGCATAGCAGGGGAGATAAAACAAGGGCTCTTGGCACCTCTCCATCCCTCCTAAATGCCTTATCTCCTTTACCCCCATGACCCTCGCTGGGCTGGTCAGATCCCTGGGGAAAAACACCCTGTGCCTCATGGTGCTGGGAGCTGTGCCAAAGGCTCGGGAGAAGATCCATCACACGTGTTGCTTGATTTCATCTACCCATGCTGAGCTGCTGCTGTGACTTTCCTGTCTTTGCCAGAGTGTTGCTTCTGCCGTGCCAACTGCCCCTTTTTCCCAGGCAGCTGACACAGCCTGGAATCTCTCATTTTTTTGGAGGTGTGGGGGGCTGCAACCCCCAGCTCTGATGATTTGTGTGAAGGGTTATGTCTCCACAGTCCCTCCCTTCTCCCTTCTCCCCATCCCCAAACCCTTCCCAGCTCACTAGAAGGGCTCACATACAAATATCTGGATAAGGATTAACTGAGCAAAGACTCAGCATGCCAAAGCCAAGCTCCTAGTGGGTGTCAGTACGTACAGAGGATGAAGATGTGCTGCAGGCTCTGGAAATGAGAGGTCTCATACTCATTCTGCTTCTTTTTGGCCAGCTCCTGAGTGACCATGCATCTGTCACAAAGACCAGCTCGCAGTCTGGAGGAAGGAAAGCCCACAGCTTGTTACCACACGGTTTCCACGGGAGAAATAAATTCCTGCCCTCCCCAAAGGGAAGTGTGAACACCCAGAGCATCGCTGAGAATCACCCCCACAGCCCAGCACTGGCCTCTGCACCCCTCCAGCCCCAGCCCCAGCACCACCAGCCTAGGAAAGCTCCTGTGCATGTGCCCACGCTCCTCCAGCTCTCTCAGCAGCTGAGTACGGGAGAAATAGAGGTTCATGTGCTGCATCCCAGTCCTGGGAAGACAGCAAAACCCAAACTCTCCTCCAGGACTGTGCAGCCGCTGACACTCAGCAGCACCCTACTTAAAAACAAATCCTACCTGTTTTCTAACACCTTTACATTTTCTTTAAGGACCTTCTGTTGCTCCCTTAATTGGTGATTTTTAGCAAACAGCTCTTCAATTCTCTGAGCATCGCTGGTTGAAGAAACAGAACAAAAAAAGGAGGGTTATTACATTTCTTCCCAAAACATGTGCCTTCATCCACAGTGCCCTTTTTCTTGTGTGGCAGAAGGGGAAACAAATGTGTTGGAGCCTGGATGCTGCCCTTGGAGTTAGCAGTTTAATTCCTCCCACTTATTATTTTCCAAGGGAGAAAGCACCGGGTGGCACAAGCATCACCTGCCAGTGGGAAAACAAACTGAAGCTGGGCTGGGATCACCCCAAACCCTGCCTGGAGCCAAAAAGCTTGAATTTGGCAGTGCCAGAAAGGCAAACGGTGCTCTCTAATGCAGAAGTGTTGGAGAATAACTCAGGAAGTTGAAATTGCAGTGGTGTAACTCTGAAATTGCCAATCCCCTCTGGCCCAGCATGGCTCACCGGCACTTCTCTGTCGTCAGCTCCGCCACCTTGCTGTGCAGGCCTGGAATGAAGAGCAGACACAGAGCTGGATGTTTGCTGCCAATTCCCCAGCACTCAGCAGCAAACGATGCTGATGGAATTTCGGGAAGGTGCGTGGCTTTGCAGAAATCTCATCCCTTCACAAGCCTTATCTCCAATAAGGAGTAACACATTGCATGTGTTAAACACAATCCCAGTTTAATGGATGGGGAAGTTGTACAAAGTGTGAGCTGGTCTTGTAGCCCCACTATTTAATGAGTCTGCATCTCCTTTGCAGCCCCAAAAAAGTCTGGTTTGGTTTTGTTTCTACTCATTTCTCACTACAGCCAGGATTTCCCAGGTGGGCAGTATTTTATAGCTTTCATGGTTGGAAAGCATCTTGGAGAATATTTACAGCTGAATGGCTTTCCTTGATGGATCTGCAGACATTGTATCCTGTCAAATCTATTTTATGCAAAGTAGATATAAACATGTGGTTTAAATTGCTCAACAGTTTCCTCTAACTCTCACGTGGCTTGAAATTACACAAGAGAAAAATGAATTCATAAGGCAGAATCATCCAAAAGTGCTGAAGTTTTGTTCATAATATTGATACTGGGAATTATTCTAATAGGAAAACAATTGGACTTGGCACTGGGTTACTTAACCTAATGGGTTTTATTTTAATAATGTATAGCTTGAGAAATAATTTATTCCCTAGAGGAATAAGCTATCCAACCTGACTCAAACGTTTTCTTTAACAGAGCTTCACGTCCTGCTGCTTCTGCCTTATAGATTATTGCATCTTTCTGCTTTCCCTTTGATCCCTCAGTCTCCCAATATCCTCCAGCCCTCAGTGCTTGGAGCAGATGCCCAGCAGGTGTGTGTGCACCCCTGCAAACCCCCCTGCTCACCAGACCACGACAGCAGGGCCAGGAAAGGAGCCAAATCCCCCGTGGTTAATGCTGGGAGCAAGTGGGATTCCTGCAGGGACAGAGCACCTCCATGGCCTCCTTTCCAGCAGCATGGAGTGCAGGAATGTCCTTTCCCTTCTGCTCCTTCTCACCATTCAAAAGTTACTTTTTCCAATGAGAGGTACAAATATGCCATCAGTGGGTGTTCTCCCCTGAGGCACAGGCTGTCACCCCATGTCCCAAACCATCCCTGTGGGTGCTGCTTGCTCAGCACTAATCCCCAAATCTCCCTAATCCACACCTGCTCCTCCTCCTCCCTTCAGGTTATTTGACACCAAACGGATCAAGGTGGTGTTACAAAGAAATGGATCTTGGCCAGGTTTTGATAAGAAAATTTTGTCTCCCTACCTTGGACCTCTTTCTCATGGATTTCCTTGAGCTTGTTCAGGAACTCTGCAAAACTCTCTGTGGTCATGTTCAGGGCTGTGTTCAGTGCGAGGATGTCCTTTTGTTTCAAATTATTCAGGTTTCAGCCTAAAACCGAAAAAGTCCAACAAAAGAGATGTGTCTGGTGCATGTGGTGTTCTGGAAAGGACAAAGCTAAAATCTAAGAAGAGAAATCATTTGCTAAACCATGGGATGCATTTTTGTCCACCCTGCCTCATCACTGAGCACAACAAAGAGCAAGTCTGAGATACCAGGAGAAGCCCAGCTGGAAAATCAGGCTTTTCCTCAACTTGTTGAGCTGTTTAAATTGCATTTCTCTGGGATGAGGTGGGGCAGGGCATCTTCTTGAGCATAAAGAAGGGACTGCAGAACTCGTGTTGGGACCACATAGGGTCTGATGACAGGGAAATTCCCAGCAGATCTGGTGCTTGAGCCTGATGGACTAATCTCCTGCTGGGATGCTCCCTTGCATCCCTCCTCCTTCTGGCACCAGACACAGCTTTTACAGTGGCAACACACAGCACTGGGCCACCTCACTGTCTGCACCCAGGCTTCTTGCATGGCCTCGCTGGCTGTAGCCTCTTTGAACCCTTGGGAGACAGTCAACAGAGCTTTTTCACCCAATTTTACAGAGAAACCAGGAGAGGTGATGTCCAGAGCTACGAGCTTCAGGAAGCTGTCATGGGGTCCTCTGGAACCACCAAAACCACACTGGGAAAGAGGAACTTCCACGTGAGTGCATTTAGCATCTCCTTGTGGGAACTTCTTCCCCCAAAATCAATCTGGGTTTCTAAGCCATGATGAATAATTCCAATCCCAACAAAGCACCTGGACACTCAGCCTTCAGCCACGAAGAGCTGCCCAGGGAGCAAACCTCCCTGTGTGGCTGGGAAGTGAAGAGTGGGCTGTGGCCTCTGTGGCCCCACGGGGAAGAAGGTTCGTGCTGCTTCCAGCGCTCTCCCCGCCCGGCTCCCGCCCGTGCCTTCATCTGCATGAGGAGCAGGGCTGTGCCAGATCGCCTGCATATGCAAGATGTGGGCATGCAGAGCTGGAAGAAGAAAGTTTCCCCTAAAGCATCTGATTTTCAAAAGGATCGAGGCACGCGCCGGCAAGCACAAGCAGCGAGCTCGGCACGCTCGGGTCGGGGAGCAGCTGCCTGAACACGATCCATCCCCGAGCCACTCTTTGGCTTTTGAGCAAATCTGATGCAGAGTTGAGTTCTTATTTGATGCTTCTACCTCTCTCAGCCCCTAAATTATCAGGCTAGCCCAGAGATACAAGGCCTTGAGGGGAGGAACATCAGGAGATGGGCAAAGATTCAAAAGAGGCTCTAACCCCAATGTGGTTGTCCAGCTTCTTTATTCCATGAGATCCAGGGGTAAAGAGAGGGGGAAAGAGGGCAAACAGGAAGGGTCAGGGGCTTATCTGGGCTCTTGACAGGGAGGGCTCTTCTGGCTCTCCACCAACCCCATCAGGGCAGGAAGGACGGGACACTCTTACCTGATCAGAGTCACAGGGGTCCCTGGAAATGGGGAAAAGCACAGCCTGAGCGCACTCTAACACTTAATCTCTGGGGAAACAACTAAAAATTTCATTACTCCTGCTTCCCTGGGCATAACTCACCCATTCCCAGGGCTGGGTGATGTAACCCAGCAAATAAAAGCATGGTGTGGCTCGTCCAGCTCAGGATCTGCCACTGTGAAATGGGATTGGGAACTGATCTCAGCCTCAAGAGCCACAGCTGAAAATCCAGCCAGGGGGAATAACGTGCAGCTCTACTGAAAAAAAACCCTCCTGATGTTAATGGATGCACTTCCCGGGCTCACTGAGTCCTAAATTAGGCTCTGCCCTGGGCAAAGCACCTCCCCAGGGCTGAAGGGAGCTGGTGAGATCAAGCAGTGCCATCACGGGACTGACACCCCCAGTGCCAGCTGGGCAGGCTCTGAAGCACCCAGGCACTAATTCCCATTGCATTCTCCAGTGCTGCAGGATTGCAACTGGGAGCAGAGGAGCTCGTGGCTTCAAGTGCTCCCACTGCTGTGGATCAGGTGCTGCCCACCCTGTGCTAAGGGGTTCAGCCCTTTCCCCAGGGCTGGAGTCTCTGCAGGCTGAGCCCAGCGTTTGGAGAGACAGGATTCAGCTCAGCCATCCCGGGCAGGTGACACCCGGGCTGGGACTGGGGCCAGGTAGGGCTGGGCTGGTTGTGGTGGGAGGTGGGAGGTGTGGGGGCAGCCCAGGTGCTGGGAGCTGGGTCTGGATCCCTGCAGCTGTGACTCAGTGCTGCGGGCAGAGCCCAGAAAATCAGGATTTGGGGCTGGGCTCTGGGCAGCAGCTGCACCTTCCATGCACAGCTGAGGCTGTGGTGCCACCAGGGTTGGGGTTTATGCCTCGTTTTCTTTTCCTTGGAGCCCTCTGGTGAGTGGGGACCTGTGAGCTGCTGCAGATCCAATCAGCAGGGAAAAGCTGCCAGTTTTGGTGGGTTTTGAGATGCCAGAACCCATCTCTGCCTGCAGGTGGAACAGCCACTGTGTGGCAAACCTGGCGAGGACCTGGGCTCTCCTCTGTGCACACACATGGTAACAGAGATCTTCATGAGCATGGCTCCCCGCGTGTCTTTTCCCAGGATTCAGCCTTTTGCTGCAGCAGAACAGCCCCACTGACCAGCCCAGGCTCCCTGAGGAGCTCAGCTTCGCTCCCTCTCACCCGCTGTGGATGGGTGAAGGTGTGAAGCCACAGCTCCCTGCTCCTCTGCCCTGCTCTGGAGGATTTATTGAGGGAGATTTACTGCTGAAGCCCAGAGCACAGAGTCCCTCGGTGTGGAGCTGGCTCCCTGAGACAGGGATTTCATTTAGAGCCCCGAGCCCTTTGCAGAGCTGTCACTGTGATGTAGAGCCCGTGGTGCCGATGCGGCCCCGTGGTGGGGCTGGAGTGGCCTTTTGGCATCCCAGCAGGGCTGGGAGTATTTCAAAGTGACAGGTGCCCTCTGCAAACAGAGCTCCAGTGTCAGGGACCAGAGGCAAACTCCTCATCCAACCCTAAATCTGGAGGGTTTGGGAAGCCCAAGAGCCGGGCTGAGCTGCTGTTAGCTGCTGTGGCTTTGCTCACCTGCTCTCTGCATCCCTCGATCTCAGGGTGGGACAAGGGCTCCAGTTTGGGGCACAGGGTCCCTGGGGTGTCTGCTCTCATGCAGGGGGCTGGAGCAGCCCCCAGCATCTCCTGGGTGCCAATGACATAGCTCCTTGGGCAGGGTGCTCCTGTTGTGGCTGGGGAAAGGAAAAGCAGCAGGGAGGTTATTTTCTGTCCCATCTGAGGGGAGGGATGGACTTGGACAGCTGGCACTGACAGCACAGCCAGCCCCCATTCCTTGGTCCCCAGGGAGTTCCTGGCTTCTCAATGCCATCCCCAGCACTGCCTGGCACACTCACAGTGGGCACATCCCCACCCTGAGCCCTGTCTCCTTTCAGGAGGATAAAGCAGCTCATTAGCTAAACCAGCTTAAGTCATTAAAAAAAAATTTAAAAAAGGCAGAAAAGAAAAAAGCAGGACAGTGACTGTGGGATCAGTGAATCTTAATGGATTTACCAGCAGATATTTCCCCATCAGCAGTGCTGGAGCTGCTCACTCCAGGCTGGATATGTCACACACCTTTCTCTGGGTGATTGCCAGGCAGAGCTGCTTTGACCAGCCAAACTTTCTTTCCTTGGCTACCCTGCTATGTTCCTGGTCTAATTTTAGAATTATAAACCAAGTTTTTACTCAGAAAAACTGCCTGATCAGTCATGGAAAATCTGTGGTCCAGGAATATTTCACAGGCCATTGTGGAGCTAATGCTCTTTGCTGATGCACTTCGCTTGGCAGTTCGAAGAGGGCTTTTTTGGTACATTGAGGGATTCTTTTTTTTTTTTTTTTTTTTTTGCTGGGTATTTATTTATTTGCATGACTTAACATGGCACAGACTGCCCTAAAATGGAGCCCAGTGCCTGTTCTGCACCGTGCTGTGTTTGCTGTAGGTGCTGCATGTGAGCTGCCAGATTGCAAAATTACCTCCCAACAAGTGAGACAGGAGGAGCAGCCTTGGCCCTTGCCTCTCCAGGGGGGAGGATTTGCTGCCTTCCTCTACCTGGCACAACCTGAAAATCCTCCCCAGAGCAGAGCAGCTGCTCCGTGCTGCTCCACCAGCCCAGGGGCCGGTCTGCAGCAAGCCCCAGGGCTGCCTCTGCTGGCTGCTGCATGGGGGTCCCACTGGGGTGATGTGGAGCTGTGACCTGCCCCAATGGCCCTGTGGGTCTGTGGGGACTGGTGCAGGTCACAGCCCCCTGAACCAGTTCCACAGGATCAGCAGCACTGGGGAGATGCTGCCCCTGCTCATGTGTGCACAGACGTGTCCCACTGCAGGGAGAGCTGAGCTGGAGCAAACCCCCCGAGATGCAGCTCCAGCCTCAAGTCCCAACCTGCACACTGATTTACTTCTACCCCAGAAAGTCTCTGTTGCCATAATTCAGCACAGCCCTGGTGATCACAAACTCAGCAGCTCAATTTCTCCCCCACCACCCTGGCCCTGTGGAGGCAGCCTCTGCTTTTCCAGCTGCTGTGGCAATCACCAACCCCCCAATTTGAGTTTTCTTCCAATACCTCATTTCTGCTAAGAGCCCTTATTGCCCTCAAGAGCACTTGTTATTCCCTGCAATAGGGACATCTCTCCTCCCAGCAGAGTCTTGGCTGCCCTGGACTTGCAGGATCACAAAAACCAGAGCTGTTGGTCTTCTACAATACCTGAATATACCCAGGAATCTGACTGGCTTTCACATAGCAGGATGAGCAGCCTGGGGGTCTCTCCCTGTACTGGCCCCATCTGGGAGGGAGGTTTTGTCCTCCCACTCCCCAGCTCCTGCTTTGCTGGGGTTTAACAGTAAATATTTGTTCTGCTCCCCGCTTGAGGACAAATGACATTTGGAGGCACCAGCTGTGCCATGATGCTCCCCAGAGTGTGGTGGGCTTTGGGCAGATCTGTGGGCAGGAATGTCTATCCACAGGAAGATTCAGAGATGATTAAAAGTATTCACTTATCTGCCTGTTCATCTCGGGGTAACCACAGGTTCTACAAACATTACTCAATTAACACCTCAAAATGCTCTGGGAAGTGGCTAATGAGGCATTATCGTGTATTTTGGGTGATTTAATTGAGAAGTGGTGAGGCTCAGGAGTAGCTCAAGGCCTTGTTGGGATTGGAGGCACGTGGTCACTGCCCATCCAAAACACTTCCACTGCCACCCCCAGCTCCAGAGCCCCTGGCTGGGCAGAAGTGGCAGGAAAATACCCAGGGAATCTCTGATAGATGGTGGGTACCACCCCACCTTCTTCTTGTCATCCTGTTATACTGCTCATGGTGCCTGTGGGCATCTCGGTGCCACTGTCTTCTCCTCCATGGCAGGAGACCTCCCCAGCAGCATGGCTCAGGGCCCACGCTGCTCCTGACATGGGAATTCATCATTCCTGGTCCTGCATGGGAAAGCAGGTCTTGTGTGGGAGAATGGGCACGAAGATCCCTCTCAACCACACTTCCACAAACCAGCCCCTCTGCTCCTGCTGAGTGAGG